CAGTTCAGTCTTGGCTGGGCACTTCCAATGACAAGGTGCACCAAGTCATTCAATAAGTTAGCACACACTTTTAGGCTTAAGGTGTGGTCCTTTGGGGCACGTTACCCTTTGGATGGATGGGGGTTGAGTGGGGTAGAGGGGGGTAGGGGTAGGGCTTGGGGTGGGGGCTTGGGAGTGTGGGGGTGGTGGGCATGGGACATTAGTGGAGCTAACCATAGTGAAGAAGAGAATGTTCAAAGTGAGGAGAAGGGCAATGGAGGATATAGCAAACTTAGCCATTTTTCAGTGTTAATTAGCACTCTCAACTATTGAATGTGGCCAATGAAGTGAAAATATTGTTTGCTTGGTGTTTGGAAATGATAAAATGAGTGGTATTTATAGATGGAAATATCCTGAATATATTTGCAATTAATACTTCTTTATGTCCTACTAATGAAGAAAATTGAGAGAGGCTCATGTGAATAGAGAATATCTACACAAAGCTGGCAAAATGCAACTTGAGATGCTACTATTATTGGATTATAAACTTGTAGTTTTGTGGATTTCATTAGTTGTCTATTATTATCTTCTTCGTCAAAGATAAAATTATCCATCCTTTATTTTCACATGGGACTTAGATTATTCTCTTTAATTATTTGAACATTGTTCTTCAACATGCTTGACCTGGATCCATCAAGATTAATTCTTCTATTCAGTTTGGAAGCTAGTAGTAAAGAGCTGTCTGTTTTTTTCTACTACTGTTCTAGTATAAATGTAACAAAAGAAGACATGGCAGAATTTACGCCTTAGGCTAAGGTTTGTACACTACCAAGAAGTTTCTTCCTTTGTATTATATTGTATTATTGACATTGATAGGCTACTGTTCTTCTTAATCTGATAAAAGAAAAATGATTAAGCCCTAAATCCTGGATTATCAAGACTTCCATACAAGTTTTTGATCATTCTTAGCATATACTGATATACGTACGTACGACAGACATATTAATATTTTGACGTTAATTGGAAAAAGATGATCAGATAAGAATTATTTCCTATTCTTTGGCGTCAAGTTCTCGTTCCAGAGTATAAAAAATTAAAAATTAAAAATAAAATATTGCGGTTGATTTGTATAGTTAAGCATCTTTGCCAGCAATAGTTGATTTGTTAGTTTAACTAATTTACGTTGGCAGTGCAAAGAAGTTTTACACAAGTTAGTGGTTACTAAAAAGCTAATTACAAATAAATTTTTGTAGTAAGCATAAAATGATAACTCGCTAGACATGATAAATGACATATTAAATCGGGCAACAGCTAAATTACACCCATAGTGAAAAATCTAATATTGTGTATGTATATGATCTAAATTTGTCTTTTCACCGTTACTACATATATTCTGATGATATGTTAATAGGAAACTCACCTAACACTAAAAGACAAGGAAGAGCATGGATATAATATATTGTGGAGAATGACAAGTGGAAATAATTAAAGATGAAGCCGAGATAAAAAAGTGATTTCGCGGATTAGTGAGGTGCTAATCAATGATCAACCCTAATGACGCGTTAATCGGAATGCACACCTTATGATCGTGTGTCGTCTAACACTATATATTCGAAGATCCATATTAAAGAGGCAAATATATATATATATATATATATTTCTTTTTCGAAGTAATTAAATGAGTAGTGATGAATGTTTCATAAAATTTCTTTTCCAAACTTTGTAAGTAAGTGATAAAACCGTACCTTGTGACGTGTGGTAATTAGCCGAACGTCAACTTTATTGCAGATAGAACCTTAGCATGCAAGGGAAAAAAATAGAAGATCAGGTTTTACACCACCACATTAAAATAATAATATCTATGAAATAATAAGAAAGAACACTACTCAAAAATGAATTTTTTATTTACCAATGTAAATAAAGTAATGTTAAAGGAATTTACTTAGTTAGGCGCAGGAACAGACATATTCATCAAGTGGATCGAGGCAGTGAATTGTGAGCCCCTCATGTGTGGGTTTAAGTCATCATTAAGAGTAAGAAAATTCGTAAAATCTTTTCTATCATTAATCTTGGGCTGGGATCAGAAGCTCCTACCAAAAGTGATTTATGATTTTCGCTAAATTAGAGGCATTCCATTCTCAAGGAGTCAGCGATGTGATTTAATATTCATCCATTGCAAGAGTCAAGGCTCATTCAGGATCAGTAGTAGTTTACGATAATTATGAGTCTTATATCTTATTCGTGGTAATTTTTTTTTGTCATGTCTTGTGTCTGAGTAAGGGCTGCAAACCAACGATACACAACTTGGTTTGGGAAGAATGATACTAAAAGTTAGAGGAGCTGATCGAGCTATTGAAACAACGTATCGTGCATTCGTGCTCCTTCGTTAAGTACAAAATTCAAACCTACAAAATATCTCTTTAGGGTTCACCACTTGATCAAGTCAATGCGTTCATCATTCCGTTTTATTGGAAAAAAGAATTTAAAGTACGTAATTTTCAAGAGTTCACGTATTTGTGCAACTAGTTGAATATAAGATAATAGTCCATTCCGTTTTGTTGGAAAAAAGAATCCAAAGTACGTGGTTGTCAAGAATTCACGTGTTTGTGCAACTAGTTGAATATAAGACAATAGTCCAAAATGTCATCGTCTTTATAATTTTGCAAAGGAGATTTGTGTGGCCTATTTAGGTTTTCATCAATATTAGCGAAGTCAATATTAGAAAGCACAATTGCGAAGCACAATCATATCCTTTGGTCAAAATGTGAATATAGACATTAGTGATTGAAAACAGTAGTATTGACAGGCAGTCTCGCTTTCTGTTGGCAGTAGGTTTTTATGACTAATCGTTGTTTTCTTTCAGTGTTAGTCATCTTACTGTCTTGTTGTTTTTATTCTACTTTTATATGGCTTTTTATTTGGTACTATCCCTTCTTTTTCTATATTTTCATTAATGTGGTGCTTATGCTTTCTTGAGCCGAGGGTCTATTGGAAACAACATGCTCTATCCTCACAAGGTAGGGGTAAGGTCTGCGTACACACTATGCCTGTTAGGTGTTTGCCATAATTTTCTTACCATATTTGGTTTTCCTATCTCTTGAAGGAAAAGGGCAATATAATTACCTTAACTGGGATTTCCTTTTTGTAAAAGGGAATTATAAATCTCCAATATTTGGCTAGTCCTTTTTCTTGTAGGAAAAGATTTAGACTTCTATAAATTAAAGATCCTTCCTTCACATTCAGTAGCATCCACAATGTAGCCATAGGGGGCTTGAGAGCCGTGTCTAGGGGGAGAACTTTACGGGACAAGTGTTAGTGTGTCACTTGTGTTTGCCTCTTCGTGAGGTTGTTCTCTCGATATTTTATACTCTCTTTTTATTATAGTGGATTGCTCATCTCCGTTGTGGACGTAGGTCAGTTGACCGAACCACGTTAAATGCTTGTGTCTCTTTTGGTAGATTTCTATTTGTTTTATGATTTATCGTCGTTCAAGGTTTGCTTTGCTAGCTTCCGCATGACACCTAGCTTTTTTCAGTCCTATCAAGTGGTATCAGAGTGAGGTTCAAGACAGGTTCATCTTGGCAGGTTCAGCTCTAGCCGCGACAAATTTGACGATAATCGTGATTTTTGTTTGAGAAATTTGACCGGTGTGCTACGCACGTTGAGACAAACTTTGTGGCGGAGATCTGGAGATGTGACCTGTTGAAGGCTATGTGAAGAAGGTGGATCAAGTTTATTTTGTCAGAAAATTCAGGCCAAGGGGGAGAATTGTTAGGTGTTTGCCATAATTTTCTTACCATATTTGGTTTTCCTATCTCTTGAAGGAAAAGGGCAATATAATTACCTTAACTGGGTTTTCCTTTTTGTAAAAGGAAATTATAAATCTCCAATATTTGGCTAGTCCTTTTTCTTGTAGGAAAAGGTTTGGACTTCTATAAGTTGAGGATCCTTCCTTCACATTCAGTAGCATCAACAATGTAGCCATAGGGGGCTTGAGAGTCGTGTCTAGGGGGAGAACTTTACGGGACAAGTGTTAGTGTGTCACTTGTGTTTGCCTCTTCGTGAGGTTGTTCTCTCGATATTTTGTACTCTCTTTTTATTATAGTGGATTGCTCGTCTCCGTTGTGGACGTAGGTCAGTTGACCGAACCACGTCAAATGTTTGTGTCTCTTTTGGTAGCTTTCTGTTTGTTGTATGATTTATCGTCGTTCAAGGATTGCTTTGCTAGATTCTGATGACACCTGCTTTTTCGGTCCTAACACTACCCTCCCCGGACCCCACAGTGTGAAAAATTACTGGGTATGTTGTTGTTGATGATCAGATTCTCAGTTAGTTTTCTTTTTAATTAGCACTATACTATGTGTGGTATTGATAGATCGTGGCTCGTGGCCAGTTTATAGAAATCCAAAAAATCACCGCAAATATTGACAATTTATCGTCAAAGATACTAATACGAAGTTATCATTGGATATTTTCATTAAAAGATTTTTATTTAACTTTTAAGGAGTATTTAGTAATCCATAATCAAAGGAATAGATATTTTTTATACTTGTTCATATTCAAAGTAAACCATGGATTCTGGCATTTTGAGTCACGGGTTTGAAAATTATGGCCTGAACTATTTTTTGTAGCTTTGATTTTGAAAATTTAATAAACCAAGTTGATGCACTATGCTATTTGTTTGTTGTTTTTATGCATAAGATGCGCAATATGGGTGCTAGAAGTTCAATGAAGGTGACAGGACAGCTCCTTCTTGTTTATTCAATGGTATTTTAATTTCTTTCTTGACAGGGATTTCGAAGATGCCACAAGTATAAAATGAGGCAAAGATCACTTTGAGCTCGGGGCCGAAATTATTTATATTCGATAGTCGCAAAAGTGTATAAAATTTATATATTTTTTTTTATATATAACACACAAATATATATATATATATATATATATATATATATATATATGTATCGGGTTGCACGCCGCACCAACATGTTGGATCGGTCTGCACACCGCAGCGATATAGCGCTTGGGCTGTGGGAGCCCCTCCGGAGTCCGCACACCCCAGTGAGCACAGTCGACTATATATAGGGCTGCTTATCGGGCGGATTAGGCGGTTATTTACTCCTAACAGTTTGGCTTATCGATTATCGGCTTTTAAATGTATTAATCTGCTAGCCACCCGATAAGATATCGGGCGGATTGGTATCGCTTTAGCTCTTATCGGGCNATATATATATATATATATATATATATATATATATATATGTATCGGCTATAATTTCGAGAGTGACTGTATGTTTTGGTTACGAAGACTAAGTTGTGTGAATGCCAATAATCCATGAGTTATGTGAAAAGTGATACTGACAACGTGTTGCGAGATAAATGGAATCGGTAAAGAGAAAAATAAAACAAAAAAATGAAAAAAAAGAAAGTAAAAATAACAGGAGAAGTTTTATTGTGTGTCACACACAACTTACATTAGTTATGTGAAGCTCCTTTTTATCTCACAAATTTGTGGACCCCAATCTTACACTTCTGGGTCCACAAAAATCTGGGTTCACAAAACTGTGAGACAAAAAAAGAGCCTCACACAACTAGTATCAGTTGTATGAGACATAAAATAAAATTTTCCAAATAACAGTAAAGAATATTACTCAATAGAAAATCTTCTAAGTTTTAGTGAGTATCAACGACCATAATATGCAGTACATAGTTCATGAAAGAATAAGGTACTGTACCGTATATTGTATTTCTAAGCTCATGCTGATATTGAAATTAAGTCATGTAAAAAAAAAGTAATTGTTCTCCTCTAGTAAGGACATTCGAGCATAAATCACAGGACCCACAGCCACAAGGCCACGATCACAGGATGTTCCTTTCTGATTCACGTTATTATTTATTTATAAGCATGATTATTGAATCCGTTAATCACTTTTGTATCACGGCTTAATCTTAATTATTTCCGCGTGTCATTCTCTAGGGTATAATATATTGTCCTGCCGTGGAAGCAATTACTTTGTTGTTTTGGTAAGTTTGCTGTTGTCAAATCAATATAGCATGTGGTAACGAAAAAAAAAAAAAAGAATTTAACTGTAACTAGATGATGTTTATACGCATCAATCGCAATATTGCCTTTTTGTCGTTTTCGAAGGAGAATTTGAATTCAATTAGTCCTTGGGAATATGTTTAGTCATATTAATATATTTACTTCAGGGTACTATGCTTTTAGGAGTCATTTAGTCGTATTCAGTATTTTAAAAGGTGGGGCGTAAGGCGGGCGTTATACTTGATATGGCGAGGTGTAAGCCTCATAAATCTTTAAAAGTTATAATTTATAAATTAATAAAATAACATAATATCACAAGAATATAAAAAATAAATTAAAAGTTTAAAAATTATAGAAATAAATAACTCATAGAAAACAAAATATCTAGCATGTTTCTTAAGTATAAATAATGCATACAAATCACGTATAACGTATTAACTTTCAAACAATTAAAAAAGTCAGAATTTTTAAAAAATATTATTAAACTCCGTAAATAATCAATAAATCTTATCAGTACTATGATCAAAATATTACTCTTTCATGAATAAATATAAACTAGTTTAAAATATCAAATTAATAAGTCTATGATTAGGAGAGACATATGAACTAAGATATGACCAATAACCAGCGAAGATATAAATTCGCAAGTCTATAGCTCATTATTTGAGTTACACTCAATCTTCATATTTCTATCAATGAATAAAAAATTTATTATTAATTTGTTAAAGAATTTTGAGGGTCAACGATGCTAATTGGGAAATTCGACACGTGATTTGCGTTAGAACTGTTAGGCGAGCTTCGAGCGTTGGGCGTTAGGCGTATTATTTAGGGCGCACGGTTGGACACTTGGGACGTAAGCCTCACAGAATTAAGCCTCATATACATGAGTCTCAGGGCGTTTTGCAAGTTCCCCGCACAGGAACAAGCCTCGGGCGAGTCCCAGAAATTAAATGCCTTTTAAAACACTGGCCGTATTAGAGATTCTGATGGCAATAGAAAATATAGAAATATTTTAGTAGTACTTTTTCACTAGATACCCTAACTTGTTTGAGATGAAGGGTAATTATTATTGCTGCCAAATTAAGAAAAAGTAAATAGTAGCCAATCAATATCTATAGCAAAATATAAATGAAGAAACTTCTTGGTAGTGTACAAATCCTAGAAACGCTCTAGGCTGGGTAGTACTAGTTTCCAAACCGAACAAAAATATTGATGTTGATGGGATCCAGATCTTGGCACAGGTCAAGCATGTTGAAGAACAATGTTCAAATAATTAAAGGGAATAATCTAAGTCCCATGTGAAAATAAAGGATGTATAATTTTATCTTTGAGGAAGAAGATAATAGACAACTAATGAAATCCACAAAATTACAAGTTTATAATCCAATAATAGTAGCATCTCAAGTTGCATTTTGCCAGCTTGTGTAGATATTCTCTATTCACATGAGCCTCTCTCTCAATTTTCTTCATTAGTGTAGGACATAAAGAAGTATTAAATGCAAATATATTCAGGATATTTCCATCTATAAATACCCACTCATTTTATCATTTCCAAACACCAAGCAAACAGCATTTTCACTACATTAGTCACATTCATTCAATACTTGAGAGTGCTAATTAACACTGAAAAATGGCTAAGTTTGCTGCATCCTCCATTGCCCTTCTCCTCACTTTGAACATTCTCTTCTTCACTATAGTTAGTTCCACTGATGTCCCATGCCCACCACCCCCACACCGCAAGCCCCACCCTACCCCCAAGCCCCACCCCAAGCCTACCCCTACCCCCTCTACCCCATCCACCCCATCAACCCCATCATCAAAGGGTAAGTGCCCAAAGGACACACTTAAGCTAAAAGTGTGTGCCAGCTTATTGAATGACTTAGTGCACCTTGTTATTGGAAGTAGCCCAGCTAAGACTGAATGCTGCTCTCTAATTCAAGGACTTGCTGATCTTGATGCTGCTGTTTGCCTTTGCACTGCTATTAAAGCCAACGTGCTGGGAATTAATCTCAATGTCCCTCTTTCCCTCAGTTTGTTGCTCAACAACTGCGGAAAGTATGCACCCAAAAATTTCCAATGCGCATAAGCTACTGTTTTATTATTTTCCTTGTTTATTTAGAAGCTTTTCATCTGTCTTTCTTCAGTAAGTTTGGTATTTTTAATTTGCTTATGATTGTATCCGAATTTTATTATTAATAAAATGAAATCTTATAAGATTCATAATATTGTTAGGGGTTGTCTTATTTATCGTCGTTCAAAGTTTATTTTAATTTACTAGCTTCCGCATGACACTTGATTAGTTTGATCCTAACAAATATCACATATTTGAGATTCGGAAATAGGCTGACAAATTAGTTTCTCATCTAAAAGCTGGTCTTTACATGATATTTTTAGGCCGGTCGACTGAAAACTAATTACAGTCGCTAGTCAAATATAAAAAAAAAAAAATTACAAATTGGATATTTATTGTTTTTGGGGTGACTATATTGTGTAAAATTCCCTTTTAAATAGAAATCCCAATTACAGATTTGTATTTTTCTGTCCCCATCCATCTTGTACGAACCAAGAATCGCCTAGAGAAAGAAAAACCAAAAGTTGAGAAGCTTCATGCAGCAACTCTCTCTCTCTCTATATATATATTTATTTTTGTTTGGCGTACAAAAAAACTTTTTGAATTTCCGATAGTAAGAGATTTTGCTAACGAAAAAGTCTTTAATGCTATCGAATATCCCTTTCTTTTCCAAATATTTTTACGAATACGCTTTTTGATGTCGAAGTGCGTTTTTTGGAACTGCCATTAAGAAATTAGAAAATTACTCATTGTTATAGCTGGATGTGAAAGACATCTATTGTTCAAAACAAATTCTTTTTACTACTATTTATTTTCGAGCTAATAGTGTCGTCCGAAAATAAAACATTATCAGATACCAATATTTCTCAAGCGGGAATGGATTCGTTCATTGGCCTTATGACTAAACTAGTTGACCCAACTTTCAACGTACCCGAAGATTTCTATAAGGCTAAAAGATTGCTTTCTAAGTTAAGACTCTCGTCTATGAGAATCGATTGTTGTGAAGATGATTTCATGTTGTATTAAGGGTGATGCAAATTTAGAAAGTTATAAATTTTGTGAAAAATCTCGTTTTAAGTGGGTTTCCAGTGGGAAGAATGTTGTTGTGAAGTTGATGCATTATTTACCTCTTATTCCTAGATTAAAGGGGTTGTACGCATCGATGAGTTCCGCTCCTCATATAAAATGGTACTATAAAAATAGAAGGCCCTCCGGTGTCATGTGTCATCCTTCAGATGGGGAAGCTTGGAAGCATTTTGATAGGATGTATCCAGATTATGCCAGTGAACCGAGGAATGTTCGGTTGGGTTTGTGTGCTGATGGTTTCACACCATTTTCTGTTTCTGTAACACCATATTCATGCTGGTCGGTCTTTATTACGTCGTATAATCTTCAGTCTGAAATGTGTATGACTAGGCCATATATTTGTTTAAATTGTGTTATTTTCGGTCCCCACAATCCAAAGAGTTTGATTGATGTATATTTGCTAGCTCTGATTGATGAGCTAAAACAGTTGTGGTGTGATGGAGTTGAGATATATGACATATCAACTAAGCAAAATTTCAACTTGCGTGCTAACTTAATGTAGGACATTAATGATTTTTCTGGGTATGGAATGTTGTCTGGGTGGATGACTGCTGGAAAGTTAGCATGTCTTCCTTACTGCATGAGAAATGGTAAAGCGTTCACTTTAAGACATGGCCGAAAGCAGTCATGGTTTGATTGTCATCATCAGTTCTTGCTAGTTGATCATGAGTTCAGAAGGATGAAGAATACATTCAAAAAGAATATAGTTGAACATGATTTTCCACCTCCAATTTTGTCCGGTGAGGAAATTTGGGAGAGGGTTTAGAACTTCACTAAAGTTATCGAGGCCCTACCTTCTAGATTTCCTGGATATGGTGTTATTCGTAGCTGGACAAAACAGAGCATATTTTGGGAGTTGCCATATTGGAAAGATAATATTCTCTAACACAATCTTGATGTCATGCATATTGAGAAGAACTATTTTGAGAATTTGTTCAACATAGTGGTGGATGATAAGAATAAGACAAAAGATAACCTGAAGGCTAGACTGGACTTATAAGAATATTGCTGGCGACCTGAATTACATTTGCAGTCTATGAACAATGGTAAGGTGTTCAAGCCCAAGGCAAGCTACACATTCACTTTGGAACAAAGACGAGAGATTTGTGAGTGGGTTACAAACCTAAAGATGTCGAGGGCTATGCTTCGAACCTGGGAAAATGTGCCGATATGGTTGAAGAAAAACTGACTCATATAAAAATTCATGATTGTCATATCTTCATGGAAACCTTAATCCCTATTGTATTTTGTGGTTTGCCTGAAAATATATGGAAGTCCATCACAGAGATAACTTTGTTCTTCAAAGACTTATGTTCTACCACATTAAGGGAAGAAAACCTATTTCAAATGAATCAGAACTGTAACGACCCGACCGGTTGTTTTTAGCATTTGCACTTCGCTCGCCAGTTCTCGGGCATGACTAGCCCCGTAAGGTGTATTATGACTTATGTAAATCGTCTGTTTTGGTTTTCAAGTTAATCGGAATAGATATGGAAGAATGATTCTCCGTTTGAAGCTTTAAATTTGAAAGGTTTGACCCAGTCTTGACTTTTTAGTATTCGATCTCGGATTTAGATTTGGTTAGCTCCGTTGGGTGATTTTGGAGTTAGGAGCGTGTTCGGAATGTGATTTGGAGGTCTGTGGCAGATTTAGGCTTGAATTGGCAAAATTAGGCTTTTGGCATTTTCCGGTTGGTAGTGAAAATTTTGATATCAGGATCGGATTGGAATTTTAGAAATTGGAGTAGGTCCGTGATAAGTAGGGATTTTAACGTGTTTTATGCTCCTACTTGCCTATGCTTTGAATATAAATTGTTACAAAATAGTCCCAAAAGGCTCATAAGTTGTACTTGATTGCAGGTTTGATCGACAAAGTGACGAAATATCAAGGATCGGCTCAAAAGGAGTGAAACCTGCTCAAGTATCAAAGTCCAAGTAAACTGAGGGCAAACAAGCCTAGCGCGGACCGTGAAAAGTCGAATGCAGCCGCACTAGATGGTTCAGAGAGTTGACAAAAGTGGGCTTCAGGCAAAGCGGCCGCGGTACATATTTAGCGGTCCGCGGTAAAGGCTCCGCGGCCGCACTACCTTTTTGTGCGGTCCGCGGACAAGAGATTCAGAGAGATGGAATTATGCCAAGTCCAAGCCATGCGGTCCGCGGTCGTGATTGTGCGGACCGCGCCAGTTGCCTCCGCGGCCGCAGTCCATTCTACGCGGTCCGCGGAGCCCAAGTTCTGAGAGCCCAGAATTGACCCCGCAGGGGTATTTTTGTCCAGTTTTTCCAGCCTAGTATAAATAGAACATTTTACTATTTTTAGGTCATCAGTTAATTCCAGAACGTAGCTGCGTTCGTGAGAACATCATTTGTAGCCATTTTTGGCATCTTAGCTTCAAATTAACGATAGATTCTTGTACTTTAATTTAGTATTTAATTAATATGTCTTGTTCTTCATCTATTTCTCTATTTTCTTGTTCAAGCATGAGTAGCTAAACCCATTAGCTAGGGTTGTGGATCAATCCTAGTGTGGGTAATTGATGGGCGTTTCCATCTAGGATTAGATTGATTATGGGTGTTTGCTATTTGGGTTGATTTTATATTTTAATCTATGAATTGGTGGTTGCAAACACTGATTTATGCTTTGTGGATTTGACTCTTCTTGAGAAAGAGAGTCTAAGTCTCCAAAATTGACCCAACAAAGAATTGGGATGGACTCATGAGAAATGATAGTCCCAATTAACGGGTTAAACCTCGCGAGAGTAATCACCCTACTTGAACCCTAGTTGCTTGATCTAATCTGCCTACCCATTTGGTCTCGAGAGAGTCAATTGGGCAAAATCACTCTCTCTACCGAGAGGTGTGAGAGTGGGTAAAGTTGTGCAACGGTTATAGCATAAGCCCCAATTATGTCAATCGAACCTTAGTAACATCTACCCGTCAATTAGCCACCTAGGTGATGTCACGACCCTAGTGCCTTTCTCCCCATTAGATACAACCTTAGCAATTATTTCGTAGCATAATCTAGATTCAATTAGTAGTTTGATAATAGTAGTTTATAATCGAAAAAACCCAAAAATGTTGGAAGTGACATTTAGAACAATTACACGACTCTAGTCTCGATAGATACCCAGCTCCAATTTCTAGCTCTCTGAGGAATTCGATCCCGACCCTCATATCGGGTAAAAGCTATTGCGACCCTATCTTCCTACTTTATAGTAGTGTGGAGTTGGCAGCGATCAGTCCGTTGTGTCATTTGTGACGTGTGTGCAAAATTTCCGGTTATTCAGATGAGGTTTGATAGACTTTTTGATCGTTAGTGGAATTCGGAAGTTTTGGAATCCTTAGGCTTGAATCCGAGGGTGATTTGGTGTTTTGTCGTCGTTTTGAGTGTTCTGAGGGTTGGTATGAGTTTGAATAATGATATATGACTTGTTGGCATACTTGGTTAAGGTCCCGAGGGCCTCGGGATGGATTTGGAGGGTTGACGGAAGATTTGGAATTTGAGTAGAGCTGCAGAATTTTCTGCTTCTGTTGTTTCCGCACCTGCGGATTGGGGACCGCAGGTGCAATGATCGCAGGTGCGTGGGGCTGATCGCAAGAGCAGATTTAGTCGCAGGAGCGGATTGATAACCGCGCCTGCGAGCCCGCAGGTGCAAGGCCTGGTGCGCAGGTGCGGAAGTTGGCCCCCTTAAGGGAAAACCGCAGAAGCGGTAGCGCAGGTGCGCTTAAGGGACCGCAGATGTGGAATCCCTTGGTCAGAAACTATATACGCTTTCCTTCGCGATTTTCATCCTTGTGTCACCATTTTTTAGATGAGTTTAGAGCTTTTTAAGAGGATTTGAAGAGGGATTCATGGGGTAAGGCTTGGAGGTAAGATTTTTGAACTCAATACTCGATTCTATGGTAATTTTTAACTAAATAGACATGAAATTATTGGAATTTAAGGGTATAATTGGAGAATTAGGGCTTGAAATTGGAGAGTTTTCATTGGGGATTTGAGGGGCCATTTAAGGTCCGATTTTGATGTTCTTGGTATGTATAGACTCGTGGGAGGATAAGGATTCTAGTGATA